TTTATTTCTGGATGGGCACCGTCGTTTGGAGGGAACCTCCTTTTCTGGACTTGGGGAAAATGTCTTAACCCGATTGATATTCCGGTCGACCTTGACCCTTACCATCAATTCTCGAGTAGAGACGCGTTCATCGCGTAATCAAAAGGGAATCTTTGGACTGGTCAAAGTTCAATCGTAGCCATCTGGTATTGAGCTGGCCTTGTGACTTCACGTTGCTTCTTTCTCTCCGAGCCAACTCCTTAGCCATTCCTTGCCGTCATTTTCAGGGGGATCAAGGATCTTAATCTGGACCGTGGCTATGAATGACGAAGCAACAGTCGCAACAGTCGACTTATCCAAGACTGGTTTACATGCATGAGGCAGATCCCCGCCAAACAGGATTTAAGGTCGCTGATGAGCGATAATAATGGAATAGCCATGGAAGAGGAAAAGAACCTGCGTAGATGTAGACTATTTAGACGACATCGGCAACGACTAAACTGTCTTGTTGGTCAATCGTCGTCCTCACCATTTTCCGATTGCCCAGTGCCTACTGCGTACCTACAGGAGCATATCAGCATGCTGGCAATACGGAACGTACTTTTGCTCCACAATGATCATTATGTGACGCCTGAACAGGACAACACAGCTTAACCCCACCAAAAGAAATGATTGTTCGCGAGATCAGTCCTTTCTTTGTTTGAGCTGGATGCACCTTTTCATCATCATCATCATCATCATCATCATCATTTCACCATCATCGGCGCCCTTGATCGCCCAAAGGACCGCTGCCACTTGGCGAAGTGGAACTGCGAGATGATGAAGCTCAAAGGGAACGGCAAGAGCCCATTATCTACTCCGTATCTCCCAGTGAAACGTGTCGAGTGCTTTGGGCTGATGGTTCTGGTCGGTTGAGGCGCTTCCGAACTCTCCCACCCAGAGGACATTCCAAGACAGCCGTTTTGTATTGAGTTCGTGATCTTGCGGCGCCCGGAAACCTTTTTGGCAGTGGAGTCTTTTGTTTTTCCCTTTTGACACCTGTCTGGCCCACCAACCACACAACGGTCGCCCACTTGCTCTTGGAGAATAATCAAGCGGCAGATTTATCTAACTGGCTGTCAATTCACCGCAGCGGGCTGTCTGGAACTTCTGGTTCCAGTTCGCGATTCCCCTGCTGCACAGTGCACACAGTTCTATTTTGTGTTAATTTTTTTTTTGTTTTTTCTTTTTGTTCTTCCCTCTCTGTGGACTGTTTTCGTTTTGCTACATCGTTTGACTCCCGTCGCCGTCCATCTTTGCTTTTTCTTTTACCCCAGGAGGGAAATAGGACAAGCGCTTGGCTGGCCCGAAAAAGGCATTAAGTAAACAACAGGTAAGGACAGTTCTTCTTCCTTTTCAAAGCTTCGTCTCTCGCGAAAAGAGAAAGAAAAAAGAAAATAGACCACGGTTCAACGAGGATGGGTGGATCTCCATTACCCGCCGATGAATCGTTCCTTTTTAGTAAGAAGGAACTTTCCTTGGCCAGAACCCTCGAAGGTTCTATAATCCTGATTATCCTCATCTGGCTGCTCTGGTGAAAAATGATGCAGGTGATGACGATGATGCAGCGATCTTCGCTCTCTGCTGCGTCGACCGATTCTCCACGTTGGCCGTGGTTTTTGCTTGATGTTTTTTAGTGAAGTTGTCTCTCGGTTATGCATTCACTAATCAGCAACCCCGATAGAGAGGAAGGATCCGCAAATTGGGCTCAGGAATTACTTATTTTGCGCTCATGCTGTCGATGCCATATTCCTGCTAGTGACTGGCTCCAGTTTAGGAGAAATTGCCCCTCTCAAGTCACCAACCGTTGTGTTTCATTGTGCGCCTGGCAAAGATTCACTATAATAATTAGTATTATTGCTATTCATTTGGCGGTCCACCGAGATATTTTCTGTTTCCCATATTCTCTTAAAAAGTGAAGCAGTCCCATTAAGAAAGGGACAGTGAGAAAATACGAAGAGAAGGAGAAGAGAAGGAAGATAGACGAGGAAGAGGAAGAAAGAGAAGAAGAGAGACAGAAGAACAAGGTCGAGGACATCCCAATCAGGAAAGACCCTAACGACTCAGTTTCATCCCAAAGAAGGGCCCCTCTTCCGAGCCACCATTGTGCCTAAGTCACTGCTACTCCCACCGCGCATTCTGCTGTCATCTCACGCCATCATCGGCTCAAGTCCGTCCCCCAATTTTCCATCGTCCCTCCAGCTCATTTTGAACGCTTAACTCTCTGCAATTCCTCGGCCGTCCACAACCTGCTTTCCTTCAGCTTGACTGTTCGAAGAGGCAGAGGATAGGATCGCTAGGTTGTTGCTGCATGGGTGCACCAGCTTCACGTCTCCCGTCTCCCCCATCTCGTGCTCTAGTCTGCATGTTCGAACGGTCAGCAAACCATGTCCCGTCGCCGTGCCTCAAACAGTGAATCAATAGCCTCATCGTCTACTATGAACGAGGCTGTTGCATATCCATTCTCCGGTATGCAGCAGAATCATTTGCCCCAGAGGCGTGGCCCTATCGAGGGCCCTAACGGACGAAGGTTGATTCGGAGAGTCACCTGGCGTTCGTCGACCTACAAACTCATGGCGTCCCTTTGGGTCTTGGGCGTGTTTTACATCGTCTGGCTTATAAGGGACCTCTTTTGGCTGCCCTTCGCCCCGTCAGAAACGGAGTCTACCACTGGAACTGCGGGGAAAGAGTAAGTTTTTCTGTGACCTTGTCTGTTCAGCTGTCATGGCAGCTTAATACTTACCGAAGCGTTTCTTCCTCAGTTTTCTAGCACACTATGCGGGTCGTCAGGAGTGCGGCATCTCCTCAGTCTCCTTATACAACCCCCCAGAAGACCAGCGATATTGCCAGACTCGAGACTCATTGCTCAGCGCAATGAGCAATGGAGGTCGTCATGGCTTTGATGCTGCCTATACATCACAAGGTACGAGCGGGATTGGTTGACCCTAACGCCATCTCACCAATGCGTCTCTTCGAAAATTTTTCTGCTGGCGCTTGCTACGGTTCTGTTGACATGCTTAGGTTGTGTCTATCGTTGGTATAGCAGCTCTCAGATCTGCGAAATACTCCAAAAATTTGACGGAATCGCTTTCATCGGTGACGAATCACTGGCTGATGCTTATGCTGGATTCAATATCCTTCTCCGTGAAAATCTCGCCACTGGCGCTCTGAAAGATTGGGAGATGAATGACATGTACAGTGAACAATGCAGATGTGACTCTCAATTCACCAACCCCTCCTGCTGGCTGAAGCGAATCAGTTCCAGCGAGGATATGTTTCTCCCGGGCGACAAATCAGGACCTCGAAGCACCTATGCCTGCTCAACCCGTAAGTTATCAACTTCAAGAAGATATTCATACATGTTAGCGCTGACGTTTTTGTCACTCAGATGTTCCTCATGTTTTTGTGAAAGTAGTTGGATCGCCCGCCTCAAGAAACTCTCATGAGAAAATTCAGAAGTTGCTCGCTCGCTCTGACAGCCAAAAGAAGCCTGTCCCTGTGATTCACAGTGTTTCGCTCTCGATATCATTTTCCTTGTCCGCAGCCGAGAGTAGCATGGACGAATGGCTCGCTCTGACGAAAGTCAACAAACAATCCACGCCTCTGCTTTGGGTGGGGCCCACGGCTCCCGGTCATGAGAAGCTGTCCACCGATACCAATATTCCTGCCAACAGTGCCGTGTGGCAGTATGCTCTAGACACGACAAAAGCAGCTCGGAGTAGAGGGATGGAAGTTCTAGGCATGTACAATGCAACCTTGCAAGCTGCTAGCTGGGACGGCAAACATTACGGTGAAAAGGTAGCTATCATGCAAGCCATGATGGTAAGTTCTCGTCTCTGCTCTTAAGCAGACTATATGGTCTGACGTTCCGCAGATTATCAACTGGCTATCCGCTCTCTAAAGGACCAAAGTCATGTCCATAAGCTGCTCAACGTGATATCATATTGTGAAATGTCCCGTCAGCAGGATGATGACTGGAGCGAACAAGTAGGTATAGCGCTCATGCTTCTTATGAAGCTATGCCGTGCATGACGTTCTCTGCTTAAAGATTGCTTTCCCTCGTCCTTCCCCTCAGCGACTCTGAAGTCACCGTTGCGCTTCTTGGATATACCTCTCATTTCTTTCCAACTTCTCTCCAACTTCTTTTCAACTTACGTCTTTTGCTGCTTCTCTTCGGGTCATTTTCTAGTGTTTAGATTTCTCTTCAATGTTCCTACGTCCGTGAATTCTCGGCGGACTCCAAACGCCATATCTGCTTCTGGTGCATTTCCTCAGCATGGGTGGCTTTCTGCCTTTTGCCGTTTGATGACCTCCCTTTCCTGCTTTTCATAAAGGGATGAAGAGGGCGAATATAATGGAATAAAGGGGAAGAATTGGGGCCATGTATCGAGTCGCCATTTACGTCACCGGTCTTCATCATCGCGACTGGGCACGTTAATCTTAATACCTTCTACGATGTGGTGCTGCTTGACAAAAATAAGAGGCCAAAGTTAGTATGCATGCTATTTTGACGTAGGATGGTTCGACTAAAGCCCGTGTAACCTGGAGGACGTGGAGGCGGCTGGCTTGTGGCATGTAGTACAGCATATACCTGTGTGCCTGCAGTCTGCTTCGTTGACTGGCAGGTATCGTTACGCGGGATTCAAATTCACGCCTAGCTACTAGACTAGCAGTAGAAAGTAAGCAGGCCATTATTCAAAAATCATCCTATATCATTAGTATATTTACATATCTATATCAGAAAAACTCCCTTCACTGTACTCAGCGTGACTCGTCAAACTTTTGTGTATAGCGCGTCTCAATCGTAGCTTATCCATGGCATTAGCAGACAGTTCGTCGTACCGCTTCATTAAGTGCCAGTATAGTTTCTCTTCAGGCAGGGTTGAGATCCATTCCCTCCCAGGGGATTTTCCAACATTGTATTCTAACGGAAGTTATTTCCGTTATGAGATTCCGAGAAGATAGTGGTGTGGGACGCAGCCTTAGACGTAAAGAGCGGCGGTCTCGGCCTTGAGGAGGTGCTCCTCGTAGGGCTGAAGTGCCTTCTTGACCTCTGTCGATGTGAACTTCTCCACCTGCTGGGGAGCACGGCCGACGAAGGTGCTGGGGTCGAGGAGAGTATCGAGTTCGTCAAGGATGGGGGCGAAGAAGTCGGTGCGGCGGACGCGTTCGATCAGGTCGTTGTTCTTTCCGAGCTTCTTGACGTTGTCCGATGCTTGGTGGGAGAGGACGCCTGCGAGCCCTGATATCAGCGAGATACTTTGCGGTAAGAGAGGCTAGGGAGTGGCATACGGATTTCCTCGTGAGCGTCTTGGCGGGAGAGACCCTTCTTCACACATGCCATGATGATCTGTTCAGTTAGTATATGTGTTCGTCAGGGTATTCCTCTGAATTAGACTTACGTTCTCACTAAATCCGAGTTAGTACATTATTTGCAGTAGAGGTGACAACAAGAAGTGACTTACGTTGCCATGAAAGGAAGCTCGTCGTTGACACGGCGTCTGATGACTTCGGGATACACAACGAAACCGGAAGTGACGTTGTCTGAAATATGCGTCAGATGCTGGAAACACAACACATAATTTGCTTCCACTTACTGAGGAGGATCAAGCAGGCATCGGCCGAAAGGTAAAGCTCGGGAATGCTGATACGGCGGATGGCGCTGTCATCCTGGAAACGGTCAATGATAATGTTGCCTGTACACAACGACGTTGGGGAGTATAGCTTACCAACGAACGCTCGAACCATTGTGCGGAGTAGGTGTCCAAAGCATCCTTGGGCAGGTTCTGGAGGTGCCTTCCGAGCGAGCAAAGGCGCTCAGACCGCATAGGGTTACGCTTGTAAGCCTGCATGACATGATAAGTTCACATTCTCTTCACCTTGTGGGCAAGAGTTCGACTTACCATAGCACTGCTTCCAATCTGGTCCTTCTCAAAAGGTTCCTCAACCTCCTTGAGCATAGCCAGATGGCGGATGTCAATACCGATACGCTCGCAAGTAGATCCAAACGAGCCAAGCGCGTTGGCCACGTCAACATCGATCTTGCGCGAATATGTCTGGCTGGAGATGATGAATGCCGAATCGAAACCGGCCTTCTTGGTAACAAGCTCATCAAGCTGCTCAACCTTGTCGTGGTCACCGTTGAAGATCTGGAGGAAGGAGGCCTGAGTACCAGTGGTACCCTTGACACCACGGAAACGGAGGTCATCGCGGGCCCGCTCAAGGTTCCGCAAATCCATGAGCAAGTCCTGAATCCATAGACAGGCTCTCTTTCCAACGGTCACAAGCTGAGCAGGCTGACCGTGGGTGAAACCCAGGCAGGGCAGATCCTTGTACTGCTTAGCGAAAGCAGAGAGCTTATCAATGACAACTGCGAGTTTAGGGATGAGAATATCCAATCCGTCACGGAGGAAGATAAGATCCGCATTGTCCGTGCAGTAGCAGGAAGTAGCACCCCAGTGGATGATACCGGCAGCTGCGGGAGCAACTTGACCGAAGGCGTGAACGTGAGCCATGACATCGTGTCTCCGACGCTTTTCCTCCTCAGCAGCAACCTTGAACTCATCGTCCTGAATAGTGAGGTGGGCCTTCATCTGCTCAATGGCCTCATCGGGGATAGGAAGGCCAAGCTCTGCGCTTGTTAGCCCTCCAAACTTCAGTGTGGAGTCCCGTTAGAGGGAGACTGTTCTCCCCTTCGCATTCAGGGAGGCGAGCAATCGGTTATACACACCCTTCTGAGACTCCGCAAGCCACAACCACAATTGTCTCCATGTTGAAAATCGGTTTCTGGGAGAGAAAAGATACTTCATCTCGTTGCCTTTATATCAATGAACCATTAGTAACTACAAAGCGGGACTAAGTCGGCCACGGCTTCGAGAGTGCAAATTGCGGGGCACACTTACTCGCATAACGCGAGTTGAGAGGAGTCTGGTACACATCATTGCTGGAAGACATCCTGTCGATAGGAATTCGGCCTTGTCTAAGGAGAATTGGAGATGAAGAACTAAAAAGGTCGAACGACGATGTGTGCGTACCCCAAGGAAATTTTGTAGAATTTAGCGGGGTGGCTTATCAGTCACGTTATCAGGAGGGGCTATCAACCACGGAGATCGTCACATGATGGAGCAACAAAAACGCCTATGTACATGTCCAACTAGAAGTATTATAATTAATCGACGTATATGTGGGAAGCTGCATGGGTATCTGATCATAAAACCCCATTTCTTGAACTCTGCAGACATGGAGCACAATAGTTTCCAACTGTATCAGGGGCCAGCTTTCAGCGGAGGATGCCGATGTCGGAGAAAACATTAAGCCCTGTGCTGATTTTATGCCAATGCAGCCAACTGCGCAGAGAGACTTCCTTTGTCATATTTGACGTACTTGCCCCTGCCTTTATCAATTTCGTGGTAGCGGTCCCAGAAGCGCGCGTATAGCGGTTCTAAAACGGCCTGTACCTCACGTGCCAATACTCCGCGTACTTCTCGTTCCATGTACAGAGCCTTGTGGCGGTTGACCAGTTCATCGAAGCTTGCATTGAATGCCTTGAACTTGTCCTTGATGGCATCCTTGTCCTTGGATGAGAGTGACTTGACTATTGCGCTGGAATCGACAATGCCACCGGAAGCTGGTCGGGCTCCGGCACGCGATGTATACTGCACATCCAGGAGATACTGCGATGTTTCTTTCCACGCATCAAGATAAGTTGACGTGGCCCGCTTTCGAAAGGTGTCTATACGCGCGATACTGTCTGGCGTGCCCAAATGGCGTGCCAACTCAGGGCTTTGTCGAATAGCGCGATCGACAATGCAGAAGACATTGGACAGGAAGACGCCTTGCACGGCTTTTGATCGATGAAGTGCTCGGCCTCGAGCCTCGAGAGAACTCATCAGAGCTTCGATCATATCCAGGATAAAGTGTGATAACAAAGCCGAGCTGTCTGGACTGACATCTAAAGGAGCGGTCCCTGACGCATTGGCTGTGGAGCGCCAGTTGCCGTCTCCTAAGGAAGTTAAGATGGATGCTAACGGTCCGGAATAACCAGTCAATGTAGTGAGCGAGCTCATGACTTCGTTCACAAGAGGGACCGATCCGCCGTCAGGAGGAAGAACCGGGATGGCCGCGGCTTTCCGTTTCGTCTCCTCGAGCAGCTCCGAGAGAGAAGACTTTGCCGTCTCACGAACTGGCCGAAGAGCTTCTATGAACAAGCTCTTTAGCTCGCCCGTCCTCGAGTCAACGCGGTAAGACATCGCCGTGACGATTTCGATGATCTCGAACGCTAAGAAGCAGTCCGTCATCAGATTGGCCTTGATATACTCGTTGAGCTCACGCAAGGTTTTTGAGTATTCGGCCAGCGCAGATCGGAACGTCGTTTGCAGAGCCAGCCCTCGCTGGTCGCCTGTGAAGATCTGCGCAATAATCTCGTATTCGGTAGATATGAAGTTTTCGAGCGCGTTGGAGTATATCCCTATGCCGTTAGTGCCCTGCTTGTAGGGGCCGTCCGCAGCTCTTCGTTTGACAGTATTCAGCGAGGCTATGGCAAGATTCTGTAGGCTTGACGTCAGGTAAGCCCCACGCACATCGGCGTATATTTTGAGAGCCGGATTGCCTCCATCACCGCGCTGTGGTCCGTGGCTTGCTGCTGAGTCGATTGCCGCGCATATCGACGTTAACTCCGAGATCGTCTCTTGGGGTATTGATGGGAACGGGAGGTCTGCAAACGTTCATCGACGTCAGCGCAATCGGTCTAAGGTTTGATCGACTGTAAAGCAATCTCATACCTTTCGTTAAATAATGCAATGGCTCAATCGGACTAGCATACTGATTCAAGATCCCACGAAGCATGTCCTGAAGTTTCGCGTTTCCTGTACTAAGGAGGGAGTTGAATTCGGAGATTGCTTTCTGATTAGATTTGAGGTTTGTTGAACTCAGATCGACTAGAGCTTTGTCCACGCGTTTCATCGCTGCCAGATATTGAGACAATTCCACGCTCTGTGGTCTTTTTCGGAACCAGTCAGCACACAGTGAAACTTGTAGTCGAAATGGAAGCAAGGCTATCGCTTACCCAGCGCGGATGATACCCTCCTCACGATTCTTCGCATCGAGTGGCTGACGAAGGCGCTCGATGGCTTCATTGACCTTGTCGATGTTGCTGTTGGTTATCTGGAGAGATTGTGTATTGCTGTAGATAGGACCTATCGCATGCTTTACGACGTTACCCCCGGTCTCGAGGCGGACCAGGGAGCCCTGAATCTTCTTGGTGAGGAGCTTGAGCTTCTCGAGGTTGGCGTACAGCACCTCGACCTCTGCGCTCTCCTCTGCATAAGCATTATTTCTTGGAGCGACCATGGCTGCTCAACCGGAAGGGTCCACAATAATGGACCCCAAAATCAAGGATTCGAAACCAAGCGTGTTATTTGCGAAGTTGAGCTGCTAATAAGAGCTGTCATTATCTTCGAATAAGAGGAATAAGTTAATGGAGATAAAACAATAATATGTATTAGATGAACAGCTGGCCGATGAGGCTCCTGGCCTCAAGGGACAAGCATGATCGATTGGATGGAGCTTTGGGCTTCTTCTCCCCCAGACAGTCTAACAAAAGCGGATGATTGCATGATTTGCATCCTCCCTTCTCCGCAATATGCGCTAAGCCTAAAAAGGAGCTACGGCCCGTCTGGAATTCCGCTGCTATCCACGTGACATGTCGTCATACTCCTTATCCCCTCGATTCCCGACGGTGCGAGAAAAGGCCGGAAAGGTAAAGCAGGGAGAGATGCGGAAGATTATCAAGCCACAAATACCTCCGATCTGAGTTAAGCGATCGCCATGGTCTGGCCATCCACAACTGGCCTGCCAGCGTCGCAGTGAATGGCGGATGCATTTGTCTTCTTCCTTTGCCTCGTCACACGTTGCCCGCCTCACAATGGGTGCAGCAGGAGTTTATCGTCTGCGCTGGACGGTCCCTCCTGCTGCGCTGGGCCTTCTGGGTAGTGGGGTACTTTATAAAACAGCTGATCGCAATAATCAGTTGTTGCAATCGGATTCAAAAGCATACTTTTCTGTGTCCTCCGTGCTCAATGCCAACGAACGGTTAAAAAGGAAGTCTGCAGGAAGCTCAGGTGCTGGCGATGAGGACAATACTCAATATGCAGAGACGGGACTTTGGGCCAACATCATCCAAAAATTCGACGGTGTGAAGCAGACAGTTGGTAATGCCGAATGGATCGAACTTGATAGTATCAAGAAATCGATCATTCCCGACTGGACCTCATTGCTTCCTGTGACGGTGCAGAAACTGCAACGCGAGCTCTCCATGGCACCTGGATCTCTTGCGGAAGAAATTTGGAAAGAAGCTCACGATCCAGATGTGCACCCAGAGATTCTTCAAGAAGCCAGAGTCCGTGTCGGAAATACCTTGTGCGACGAAGAGTTGGCCTTCCGGCGCAAGCGGCAACAGCACGCTGTAAAGGCATTGGCTTCGTACTTGAATATTCCTGAGGAGGATATTCATCCGGATGACGTTCCTATCATTGCAATGTGCGGTTCGGGAGGTGGTCTACGCGCCCTCGTGGCCGGCACTGGCTCCTATCTTGCTGCTCAGGAAGTGGGATTGTGGGACTGTGTCACCTACACCGCCGGCGTCAGTGGCAGTTGTTGGCTGCAGACTCTATACCATTCATCGATCGCTGGTCGGGATTACAATCGGTTGGTCGATCATCTGAAGAACAGACTTGGGGTGCACATAGCATTCCCACCCAAGGCTCTCAATCTACTCACAACTGCACCTACCAACAAGTATCTGCTCAGTGGACTGGTCGAGAAATTGAAAGGCGACCCCGGCGCGGATTTTGGCTTGGTTGATATTTATGGCATGCTACTTGCCGCGAGACTTTTAGTTCCCAAAGGAGAACTTGGAGTCGCACACCAAGATTTGAAATTGTCTAACCAGAGGTACAATCTTTACAATGGTGCTCACCCCATGCCTATATACACCGCTGTCCGTCATGAGATCCCGGTGTTAGAAGCCGTGGAAGATGAAGAGCCTAAGAAGGAATTAACACCCGAGAAGCTTATTAAGGCTTCACAGAGCGAAGCATGGTTTCAATGGTTCGAGTTTACCCCCTTTGAATTTTTCTGCGAGGAACTCGGCGCAGGTATTCCCACCTGGGCTTTGGGAAGGCATTTCAATGGTGGTCACAACGTCGTACCGCAAGGGGATTACCCATTGCCTGAGATGCGTGTTCCGGGATTGATGGGCGTGTGGGGTAGTGCTTTCTGCGCGACGCTATCCCATTACTATAAGGAGGTTCGACCGCTGCTGCGAGGGATCGTAGGCTTCGGTGGCATAGACTCTTTAATCCAAGGAAAGTCCAAAGACCTGATCCGTGTGCATCCGATTGACCCTGCGACCATCCCCAATTACGTATTAGGCATGAAAGATAAATTACCGCCTTCTTGCCCGGAATCGATCTTCCAGAGCGAGCATCTCCGGCTCATGGATGCGGGAATGAGCAACAACTTACCTATTTACCCGCTTTTAAGGCCAGGCCGAGATGTGGATATAATTGTCGCCTTTGACGCCTCGGCGGACATCAAGCAAGAGAATTGGCTTTCTGTCGTGGATGGATACGCCCGTCAACGAGGCATCAAGGGATGGCCACTTGGAGCGGGCTGGCCCAAAGAAGACACCGGGCTGAAGGAGACAGAAGAGTTGTTGCGAGAGCCGCAGAATATCACGCAAGATGCGGTAGACGAGAAGATGTCCGACGCACGACGAAACGGCCCCCAGGACCATGAAGACGGAGTGGGCAAATCGCACCCCATGGAGCTTCCCAAAGAGCCCAAAGCCGGCGACGACCGACCATCGCTTCAGGATACTGATCTAGGCTACTGCAACGTGTGGGTCGGCACAAAGCAAGAAAGGGTGTCTGACAAGGAACCACCACCGTCGAAACGGTTATTCCATCCCCATCACGGAGATGACTCAGAAGCAGACTTCCATCTCATGCATCCCGACGCAGGCATCGCAGTCGTCTACTTCCCCCTGCTGCCCAACCCCACCGCCCCGGAGCTGCCTCCGAGCTCCTCGATGTCCAAACAACCCGTCCCCGCGCAGCAGTCTGAGACGACGTCTTCTGCAAACGTCAAGGACGGGGCACGCCCTTTGACGCCGCACCCCAGTACGATTAACCCGGAAGTGGATGATTTCCTGTCCACTTGGAACTTTGTTTATACCCCTGAACAGATCGACTCGGTGATTGGGCTGGCCAAAGCGAATTTCGCGCAGGGCGAAGAACAAGTGAAGCGTGTCGTTCGGGGAGTCTACGAGCGCAAGAAATCCGACAGACTTCGACGGGAGGAGCGGGCGCATAGGGGGCGGATGGAAGGGTTTGTGCCCATTTGACCCGGATGTGTCGGTATCCGCATCAATATATTTGCCTGTTTGGATGGCGACTGTAAGAATAGTTTGTTAGACTACGATGTGGAGTAATATTGGGATAAAGGTTGGTGTTTAAAGATTTACATTTGTCTCGATTATACTGTCACAATATACATACATAAGAGCATACAGAGGAAACGACGAACAAGCCTGGTGATCTATTGCGGACTCCTCGTAGAATCAGCATCGCCCGAATGGTGCTCGGAATCATCACCATTGTCCCCGAAATATGGCCGGACGCCTTCGAAATCCCCGTTCTCATGTCCCTTGGCCGTACCCGTCTTCGATTGTCCTGATTCCGCCTCGCTCTCCGCAAGACTGACGTCCTTACTCTCATCTGTCTGCTTCCGCAGCCCCAGCTCCTTGCTGAGTCCGTGGATCGAGTGCGCAGTCGCCGATACGGCCGTAGCAGCCGTCGTACTAACGCTCGTGAGTAACGGATGCTCCGTCGCGCTCGTAAGACCCTTGGTGCCGGTGTCGACCTCCGCGATGCGCGTGGGAATGTTCTCCTGCTCGCGCTCGTGCTCATCGGCGGCGCCTGTTTCCTGGCCGCGCCAGTCGGCCGGGTGGCTTTCGCGGATCGGCTCGCCTGGTTTGGGCTCCGTGATGGCTTGCGCCATGATGGCGGTGTCCTCCTTCCCTGGCTCGCGGATGCCGAAGCGGGAAGGTGGCGCGTACCGCCAGACGACCTTGAGGCGGTCGAGAGCTTTGACGCCCCGTTTGGAGGTCCCCTTGATCCCGTCCAGGGACTCCCAGTCTGCCTCGAAGACGCCCGAGTCGTGCTTGTCGCCGCCTTCGAAGTAGGCGTTGAACCAGACGTGTGCGATGGAGGTCACCATTGCCCAGCCGGTGTAGGCGGCTTTGCTGCGCCGTTCGAAGTCGATGTTCACGTCGGAGGACGGGACGATGACTGGTGTGCTGGGGCGGAGGATGACGGCCGAGATGCGTCTTTGTGGAGCAGCACTGAGGCCTTCAGCTCCTGATGCTAGAGGCGCGGTGACGGTGGGCTTGGGGGAGGAAGTGGAAGCGATGTTGCTTGGCCATGTAGAAGACTGGGAAGCGGGTAAGGGCGAGTCGGTGGTCGTATCCGTTTTGCTGCTACTACTGCTCTCGTCGCCATCTTGGGTATTCTTCGCTGGAAATATGGTCTTGCCGTCGTCAACGACCGTCCGTTCGCTGCGATGGAACAAGTGGAAGCACTTGATCTTCTTGCCCTCGTCGACATACCCCTGAATGGCAACTTTGACGCCATCTCTCAAGCCCCAAACATGCAGCTCGAGGATCTCAACCGGCTGCTCAATGTACTTCTTGTCCATCTGCTTCGCCCACCGGTCGACGTATCCCACCCAGCGCAGTTGGCTGGGGATACTCACACCGGGCCCGAAGCCAACTCTCATCCGCCTCGCGGTGAACCGCTCAAGGGCATCTTCCATCTTCCATCCCTCTTGGCTAATCAGATAGCTGCACGCTATGGTCCCACTGCGTCCTTTACCGGCTTTGCAGTGCACAACGGCCACCCTCTTCCTTTCGACAGGATGCGACGCCCCCTCCCCATCTGGATCATCGAGTCTATGCAGCCAATTCCTCATGCTTCCCATGATCGCTGGGATGAGCGCAAACGGCGGCGGATGATGATCCGGCCATGGGTAGTGGTGGATTCGTCCATAGACCTCCGAGTCAGGATATCCAGTGCCCTCAGCTCGAAATTCCCAAATCCACCAGTTCTTGCCATGCTTGGCGTCGAGGAAGTTCACTAACGCATCGAGAGGATTCCGATATGCACGTTGCGGATAGTTAGAGGACGGCCCTGAGGTTGCAATGACTATGCGCAAGGAATAAGTGTCAGAGGAGCCCACTGAGTAATAGGAAGAACAATTCGAGACATCACTACTAGGAACGGACAGAGCGCTCACGGTTGTCTGTGACGTAGCAGAGGTCCAGGCCGGCCTCAGGATGTCTTATTCTGGGTCCAGCAACAATTTGCCGGAGGATCGACGCCTGCATCAATCAAGGAGCCAAGCATTGTTGGTCAGTCTCGGCAAGGCGTCAAACAAGTTGCAGGATCTAGGGATGGGAGAAAGGGGCAAATCATAGAGACGTACCATTGGTATCAAGTGCCGTGAAGCAGCTGTATCTCTTTCTGTAAGTAAATAGATTCGTAGAAACCTCCCGAAATAGTTTATCTTACCATTTGCAAAGACCTCGTTCTCGTTGAGGTCTCACAATTTCCCAGGCGAGCGGAGAAGGTTGCAGCTGATGCTAATCGAATCGAACACGCGAGTCCAGATCTTCTGATGAGTGGTCAAAATGGAATATGCACTTACTGCAGACTGACCATCAGATGTTGTGAATTAATTAATTGGAGCGATCTGGATATTTCACGCAAAAGAAAGATCATCATAACCTTGGGAATAGTGATACTTGATAAGCGGGCCTGAACTGTTCCATTTGGGGATGCTTCTGGGACAAAGCGGGGATGATGTCACAGCCACCAGAGCGGCGACCTGATTGTTTATAATTTACCTAGAGCTGCAGTGGTACATGCACATGGGTAGAGATAACGAGTATTAAGGAAGCATTTTGGTTTCTTCTTTTCTTTTTCTCGTGCTAGTCTATTAGGTACAAGAGAACAGAACCACCGTGAGTTCGAGCCCGATATATTACACAGTAAATACATGCTGTTATGGGGAATATCCCGATGACATGGTTCATAATCAAGTCGACATTAGCAAAAACAGACCAATCTTCATATCAATGATACAGATCCCAATCTGCACATCGTTTCTTGACCCTCACATTGCCAGTGTAAGGGCCTGTTTTCGCGGATCAACGCGATCAACTCCTTCTATGAAAGACCCTGATTCTCAGATCATGCCATCTCATGATCAAGTAGTAAAGCGCCGTCATCAGCTAGCTCAAGCAGCACCGTATGTATCCGTCACAGGAATTGTAAAGTTCCGCATGTAAGATGTGACGTTGGCCGAACCCTCGGCATAGAATTCGGCTCCAGGTTTGAACCAAGCGTGCATGACCTCGACCTTCCATGCACGAGACTTCAAAGCTGTCAATTTAGCTTTGATATGTTTGTCTCTGCAGAAGGTGTAGTCTGTCTCCACGTCGGTGCCGTTGCACGTAGTGTTGAACCCGGGAGTGTTTGGAGTGGCGATTCCCAGAATATCGAATCGGTAGGCACAGCCCCCATGAGAGCAGCCGGTATAAAAGTTGGAGACATGCCAGGTCAGGGCAGGGTTGGCAGGGTTCACGGTGTAATGGTGATAGGTGGGAGCTGCCAATGATATGTTGAAGATCGACAAGAGCGCGACCAGCAAGAATGTAGCCAATTGCATGTTGACGTGGATGATCGCGGTATGAAATTATAGATAGATAGAGGTGACTGAAATATATACGTGCAGGAGGTATATACACCGGCAAGATAGATATTAAGTATTAGATTAGATCAACAGAAAGCGTGGCGACAATCCATTAAGGACTTTACTATGAAGAATGAAGTGTGCAATGAAGAGGAAGAAGGATACTGAAAGAGAAGACGACGTGATCAAGAATGTCTGCGACTCATATATAGCCAAACAAGTTCTAGGGCACGCAAGCATGGGAGAGAGACCTGCTTCTGGCCTGCTGGCGTAGGTGGAGCAGACTTTCCAGCGTCCTCAAAATGTCAGTCAATTAGAATCGAAAACATCATAATGATCATTTACCCTTGCCGTGTGCCTAGGTTTCCAACCGCGGATGTCGATCTCCTGCAAATCTGCGAGGTGCGCGAAGCTGTGTCACTGGATGTCTCGTCTGGTTTCTAATTATAACCAGCAGGAGAACCCGCGTTGTAGGTGTAACCAAGTACTGACAACTAAAGGAGACTAATGTCTGCCGTGCGATGAATCAATTGCAACCCCATTGTCGTCTCAAGATCTGATCATCAAACGATGTGACTGACTTGACTGGCTTCTCGCTCCGACGATCGCAAACCGAAGATCCATGTATAGTTCGGCACTTGTCACAGTCCAGCGTTTGAGATGTTCCTCCGCCCCTTGAACGGCTACTCGGATGCTCCGTAAAGCGTGAACTATGAAGGAGTCGTGCAATGAACTATAGTTCACATTGTCGACTAAGGTTCGATCGCAAGAGTGTCAGTTCTCAGAGCTTATGTTGGCCTGCAATCCTCCCGGATGCCTGTATTGTATGCAGTGTCGCATTGGATCGTTCACTGCATAATTTCACAAAGGGATCAGGATCACTAAGCATAGATATCGCGATCAAACCAGCGACCAGGTTAAGTGCCTCCCGAATCGGCTATCCTCTGAGTTCCCTCCTGTTGATCATTGCCAGACTTCCGACTAGGAGTTCGAAGTTCGAACCGAAGTTTGAGTGTTTGACCACCGATTCTTGGCTTCAACCAGGGTCAATGCACTGGGGGTTTCACGAAAAGTTTAGGCCATCTCCTTGACGTTCCATTGTGTCTCACCCAGATTCAAGCAGTGCTACTCCAGACAGCTACCACTAGTCATGGGCTAAAATATCCGATGGTTGAACACCAAGAAAAGAAACGGTCATGAGCAACCCCTTAGGGCTGTCACCGACGCCCTGACAACCTCTGCTGCTCAAAGATAATTCCAGTGGTGGTATCATTTCTCATTTCCTCGTATTTGACGGGTATACAACTGTATTATACAAGGTATAAATTGTGATACATATACAACCGGACGACAGGGTCCCTTTTCAGCCCCTCGTCTCCAAATTTAGCTGGTTTGCGTCTCATCAGGCTTCAACTGATCTTCCGGCACAAGGCCTCCTGGCTCATAGTCCATCCAGCCCTCCTCTTCTTGGGCCTTGGCCATCGCTAAGCGTCTTCGCTTCCTCTTTCGTCTTTCCTTGCTGGCCGCTCGACGGGCTTCCTTGGAGAGAAGAACCCGCATGCGACGCTCGGAGCCGTCTGCATATCTTGGAGGCGTCTCGGACCCTATCCTTCTGATGAAAACCGACTGGTCTGATTCTCCTTCATTGCGCTCAATGAGATCGTCGGCAGGGTCATCCTGCATCTGCGGATCGTTTCTCAATTGAATCGCAAATTGATCGTTGGACTCGGAGCATACGCTCTTGATCTGTTGGCGCGTGTATGCATCGGGAAGGAACCCCCGCGCCACCAAATCCTGGTAGTACCTGTACGCCGATTCAAAATTGCCCGCATCTAAGCACATCATAATTAGGTGCTCAAAAGTTTTGTCATTCGGGATCACTCCAAGCGAGGACATCTCCTTTACTGCAAACATGCCGGCTTGAATGTTCTTCGCTCTGCGAGCCATCCCTATAAGGGTGTTGTAGATCGAAACGTCGGCCTTGCCTGGACATAAGGTATAGAGCTCCTGGTAGAGTGAGATCCCTTCATCAACCGCAAACGGGTCATTGAAGGATTCATAGTCACAAAGCTCGATGACCACATGCGCGCATTCCATCGGAACCGGGTATTTCAAGGACTTCAGCTTCTTGAGAATAGCCCATGCCTGCCGTGGACTAGTCCTCGTCTGAACCATGTAGTTGAAAATGGCCCGCGTCGAAGTGTGTTCCAATTTGATACCGGCTTTGTGCATCTTACAGAGAATTTCAAACGCCGACGAGAGCTTGCCGGACTTGACATGCGCCTCTACTGTCTTCTCGTAATCTTGCAAGATCAGCGGGACATAACCCTCCGAAAGAAACCGGATCACTAAAGAAGCGAGCTTAGTGTCGCCCTTTTCGGCCGCCACCGTCAGAGTGTCACTACACAGGACCCTCGAAGGATGGAGGTACCCCAGTTGTACCATTTGCGTCCATATGTATCGAGTAGTTTCGAGATGAGATGCCGCGACTGCCACATCCAACACATACAGCCACAGTTCTGTCGTCATGTCATGACCCTGACTTGTCCGCTTGCGCATCTGCCGGAGCACTTCGTCGAAATCCCCAATGTCGCAGAGGTTGTATATTAACAGACTGTGTAGCCAATTCTCGACCATGATTTCCTTTCGCTCCATGTGCGCGATATGGTCTAGTGCGAGTTCGAATTGGTTTTCTCTCAAGAGGCCGGCCACCACGTAGTGCCAGCCAGCGGGACTAAGAGGCAGCCATCGATCTCGGAGGGTGCGCAGTATTTCTTGACGCAGTAGATAATCAGGATGAACAGCGAGAACCTATGAACATCGTCCGTGTTAGTCAAGGAACCCTGCATTCGTAGAGCTATGCCGTTAGACGTAGTGAGACTGCCATACCTGCAATGCAGCATGAAGTGTACCGGAATCGGCAGGTATCCCATTCTTCTCCATCTCCGAGAGTAATTGGCGAACAACTTCCGGCGAACCGCGCTCCGCATCGGAGTTGGCGAGGATCAGCGCTCGGTAGTGTCGTACTTCGGGGCGTACATGGCGGTCTCTGATCAATATTCGTAATATCTGCGACGCGCTGAGGATTTTAGGGCTTCCCGTTGCTAGTTCTTGAAGTCGATTCTCAAGGTCCGACGTTGACCGCTCTTCGAGATTTTTGGGTACGCCGGGAGACGGAGGTAGGGTAATGCTGGAATTGAGCGGCTGACTGTCATTTTCCCGGCGCTCAGAATTCAATTGTGATCGTTTCGAAGACTGCTGCGCTATTGAGGACCCGCTGGGGTCATTCCCGTGGCTTTCAGTACCTCTTTGCGCCTTTGGCTCCTCACTACCTTTTGTAGCATCGCTGTTCAGACATCTTCGCGGAGTAGTGGCAATTGCCGATGAGAAATCGTGTCTTTGCGGCCTTTTCCCCCCGAACGGCAGCCTGGCATTATGCGGAGTACTGATGCGAAACGATGGACATAGACAATACCAGAGTCCATCGAGAATGACCGTACTTCGGCGCATCTCGAGCCCATGCAAAGCGGAGTTGTCTTTGCGCATCGGGCAGCCGAAGAAGAGAGGCACGCTCACGTGACTTGTACATCGTCTGAAAAATACCCAGAATTCAACCTGGACAGATGGGGTTGACATAATCCGAGTTTTCTGATAAGTTTTTGTACTTTACGGACAGTATCTACTACTGGACCATATCCAAGAGCAGTAATCCCATTGAAAAAAAAAAGCCACCGAGCCAGATACGCCAAGGCCATGCTCGACAAACTCACCAACCGGTCTTTCCTAGCAATTTACATGCTTGATCTCCCCGGGGTATCGATTGTTCTCGTTATACGCAATATCATATCCATATCTAACTGCCACCACGACCCCGGCCGCGACCTCGGCCGCCACGGCCACCACCACGGCCTCTATCGCCCCTGCCCTCACGGCCACCACGGTTGCGATTCTGCGGCTGGCTCTGCTGCTGTTCTTTGACCATCTCCACGATTTCCTCCGGGATTCGCAAGTATTTGATCTAAACGCTCATTAGCTTGGAATGAGAGCACGGCGAGTGTAGGATGTAGGTAACGCACATTGTTTCCTCGCACGTAGACCTCTGGTAATCTGAAGAAGCGGTCGCCTTCAGGGCTAGTCTGAACAACCTCCTTGAGTATTAAGTTCATCCAGTTATCGCAGTTGGCAAGATGTCCGTTCAGTGTCTCGCCGTTCTTGAGCTCCACAAGCATGGGGTGGCCTTGCGCGGCCGTCAGAAGACCCAATGGTAACTATGAGGTGCGCGATATATTAGCGACACGAGATGTAAAATGTATGAAGCAGTAACCATGTTCCCTGGGGGAGGTTACTTACCATGGTGACGTTGGGCAGATGTGACGAGGAATAGGCTGGCTGGGGCTCACGTTCAAGGCGGCACAAAGAGCGCCTTTCCCGGTCAATGAAATAGGAAAGGGATACTGGAAAAGACAGTCAAGAATGCGTGATACAGGACCAGGACTTGGAGCGAAGTTATATGATATGTCCAAGGATATCAAATAAGCTCCACATGAGCTTACAAGCGGCGGGTGGTCGCAACTGCAGAGACCGGAGAAAGAAAGTTCCGAGATTCGCGATCATGACAACAGTTGGAGCTTAATACTGTTCATTATTATTTCCATGCTGACACTCTTCTATCCAATCCACTGTATCCCCGATGGGTCATTCATTATCGCTCAGCAGATACAATTGCCATGACCAGCGCGCTCTGTACACCGCACGGTGACCAGATCCTGAAGTACTTTGGCCTCCAATCAGCGGCTTTGGGTGAATTCGTGCGATTGGAAGTAGATACGATCACATACATTTGTGTAGGACAACGAATATCTGGGCTTCAATTGGTAAAATACATATAAGGGACGTTGTGCAAATTCTCAATACCAACTGCACCGTCAAGGCATTGTCATACGCCTCTACACTTTTGTTCGCTTGGCAGAATCTTCCTCTTCGACCTCGTCCTCGTCGTCCTCTACCGTGAACTTTCGCTTGACCCGTTGATCTCTGCTAGTACCGCTGGGTCCAGCGCTCGCATCATCTGGAACTTCGGCAGCTGGCGACTCGTCTGCCCCTCTGGCCTTGAGTTTCTCTTCACGCTCACTGAATTCTTTCAAAAGAACTTCGTAGCCTTCTTCGACATTTGACACGGTCTCTTCGAGTTTCTGGATGCGCTCATCGAGATCTAGCTGTATCAGGATGTCCTTGGATCGTTTGTACAGGCGCTGCTTGGTGAGCATGCGCCACCAGTAGTAGCGCCGCTCGTTAGGATCTTCCGCCCTGTGCTTCTTAATCAGGAGCCGCGACATGTTTGCTCCGCCGGCATGTCTATTCTTGAGAGGGATTTGACTCAACAGGAACATTTCGAGAATGTGAGCAAACTGGGTAGAATCAATCTTGTATGAGGTACGAATGTCATGGAGGAGTTTGACTGGAATGAGGGCGGCCGTAGGAACACGGCGTGGTCGTTGGTTTCTTGAGTGCGCCTCGTACGGGTCGGGGTTGATGTTCACCTCATGCTTGATGAATTCAGGACGCAGTATGTGGTAGTCCGCAGAGTCACGGAGAACATCAAAGGCTTCGTTCGGATCTTCGACGGTCAATTCAACAATAGTGGGGTCCTGTACACACGCCGAATGGATGGTGGTATACAAGTGTCTGCCATGTCCTGAATTCTGATGAGGAGGGAGGATAAGGAATTGGGCGATACGCAGTCGCGATGGGAGCTGTGAAGGATGAATTTCCGGTCCAGAGGGAAATGGATCGTTCTTGACAACAGGGACTTGTGTCTTGTCCCTGCGGTAATGCCACCAGCGATATGTTGTCGCATATCCGACGATGGAGTATTCGGAAGCAGTGGGTGTTGGAGGTTTCACTTTCTCATATCTGTAGGGGACTCATCAGCGGCTGTGATGGGGTCGTCACGTCATGGAACAGCAGATCCACATACAAAAAGTAGACAGTCCATCTTTGCAGCGTCCACTCGGGATCATCCGTGGCAAGAGGGGTGCCTGCCTCGATGAAGAGCGACACGAAGATTTGAGCGCGATCCAGCAACCGTCGAACTTCAGGGTCGGCCAGCGAGCCGGCCCAGATCTCATAGTTTCTAGTCCGAGAAACATAGCTGTGTGCCAACTTGCCCGGGGGTTTGAAATCTTTCGCGGCTTTATCCTCTAGCACGGCCTTTTCATAATCGGGGAGGGTGACAAAGGCCTCTACAAGTTGATCTTGATTAGAGAGAAACCGAGCAATATTAGTGAGTGGTACTAACCTTCTGGAATCCATGGTTTTAATGTCTTCAGAATATCCACTGCCGCAATATCCTCAACGGGCTTGAATTTCTCATCGTACGAGATGTGAAGCTGCGGGCGGAGGTCATGCGCCGCGAACCGTAGACGGATAATCAAGCCCTTGTAACCGAAGATGCGCTCATCATCGCCGAAGATGGGGTATGTAAATTGAGGATGAAAGCTAGAGACGGTCTTCAGCTTCTGTTCGTCGGGTTGGACTATGGTAATGTTGACGGCGTCGTTCGCATCGCACGTCCCTGGAGTAATGCATTTCACGATCAGCTGGATCCATGACAGTAAGGAAAAGAGTTGACGTGGAATTGGGTGGGAAAATACAGTCGCCTTCGTTTTCCATACTGAGACGCTATGCACGGATGACAGGGAAAGGGACAGTGAGGAAGACCAAAGCTGAAGATAAGCTCTCGTCCTGCTTCTCAACGCGTGTTGCGGATGATCGCGTTGCGCGGAGAGCTTAGCAGGTATAACCTTTCTAGGATTAGCGCCATTGGGAGCAGTTGCTTAGTTGTTACCCGTCCATCTATCATGAAGCTGCGCCTAGATCTAGCATTAATTGATAGATTTTCGAAAGACACTTCTATTGATAACTCCAGGTCTCGTGATGTCAGCTAATTAAATCTTGCTTCCATAGGTAGTGTATCACAACGCATTGTCTCACACGTTGCTCAGGTATCCTCGCTCAAGGCTGTGTTTATGGCAACGGGAACAATGCCTCCTGCTCAAACGTCAAATTGAGAGGCAATATCGCGACAGATTTCCGAGCTCTTTTAGCCAGTGAATCAGCTGCCACGTTCCCTGGGACCCTCTTGTGCCCTGGAACCCACCGCACCTCAAGCCGAATACCCAGTTTGTATAGCAGCAATGCCGCTTTGATGAATGACGATACTATGTTTTCCGCAATACTTGTTGCATAGGGAAACTTCGAAATCTCCATCAATGCTGCTTGAGAATCAGTGAAGATTGTCATTTTCCTCAAACAGTTGTGCTCTTGGGCAATCTCCGCAGCCACCTCGAGCGCCGCTTTGATAGCGAAGAGCTCGGCTAAGTTAGAGGAGTGGACTTTTGCCAGACCAAAAGCTCTAAACTTCCATTCTTTCTTGTTAGGCCATTTTTTGTACACCACAGCAGCCGCAGCAGACGTTCTTTTGGTTGGATCAGCTGAAGTATGGGGACGAGTCCTCGCAAAGGAGCTGTCAACCCAGAAAACACACGAGTCCTGAAATTCTCGTTCAGGCTGCAGCCCAGATGCTAATAGCGCATACTCTCGGGCGTATTCGCGCTCCCGTATCACGATATCCCCGCGAAAACTGCAATACAAGGGGACATACAGTTGGAGTCCTTCACCGTCTCTGAGATAGTTCTCATATTGGGCTGGTGGAGATGATTCTTGCTGAGCGGTAACCCGGCTAGGTTCATCTGGCTGACGGCCAGCGAGGGTTGCAGTCGCCAATTTAGCAAGAGCTTGAACTTGCTCGGTTTGTCGAACGATCCGAGTCAAGTACTGAGCTACTGATTCCATATTCAGAAGTTCAGCAGGTTCGTATGCGGGGTCGTTTCTTGAAGGAGAGGTAATGTAGTTCCAAGTTTGCTGCCTAAGTAATACTATTGGGGTGATACTATTCTGGTGACAGCGGATTAGGATTCAGCGAAGAGGATACCATGGTTAAATGCGCGGTGCAGCGATATTGTGCTGGTAACCATTGTATCATACAACCTCACTCAAATCTGTCTGTGCATCAGCCACCATTATCAGAGCAACGAAGGCCCTGAGAGTCTTGAATTGGAAAGGTCTCATTGTAAGCCGAGCTGCAACTGGATCTGCCGCAGATCTCTCCACACCTTCTCCGACTCCGATAACTGTCAAAAAATTATCTATATCACCATAACTCTTATATATACCCCTGAACTATAGAGTACATCGTCCAGATATCTTTCCCGTCTATCGTTATTGAATGTTGATCATAACTATCTATTCGATTCGCAACCAAAAGATGGCCGATTATCGAAGCATGCAGCCCAATCGGGGTACAAGCTACTCTGATTTAAGTGAGGCGACAAAAAATCTCACCCTTTCCGTGGAGATGCCCGGGGAAGTACGCTCCACACTGAACAGCTACGTGCCCTTGGATGCGGACGACGAGACCGTGAAGCTCCTCCGGGAAACGTTCAGGTACCTTCCATCAGGTGGTAGAGTTAACCTTGCCGAGGCACACTCAGGCTGGGGCGGGCAATAAGTTGCACCAACTTGCCCAGAGTATCGTTTCAGACCTTCTTAGATGTTTGGACGAACATTTTTCGTTATTTCCCGAGCGTTCGTTCCCAACTGAACTTCAATTACCAGGACATTAACTCCATGGTAAGTGTGATGACGCTCTCCCTACCTATGCACGCGCAATTTCGACGATTCAGTCTTGCACTCGAACAGACAACAGACACTATAAACCAATATCGTGTCAAGACCTACCGTGGTTTTGCAACAGCCCATCGAGCTGAGCTGCCAGCGAGTGGAACTATCAGCATGACAGCCCACGGTGGATCCCCATTGGCTTCACCTATTTTACTTCAAGTTCACTGTGCCATCGCGAACATACTCCATGCCACCGGCGAAGGTGCGAAGATCGCCCGAGTGCTAGGGGACTCTGATGCGACTGGTGGCCTCGCTAGCAACGGAATTGCCAATATCTCGCAGCTCTTATCTGTGACTAAGCTTGCATCGATGCCCCATTTGCGTCGCTTCGATGATATGGGCTCGACAGACGACTGAGACAACCGAATTTGACAGGCCGTCTTCACCGCACCGTCTTATGGAGATATTAGCTCTACTGAAGTGCATACTTGCCTACCGCATGACGTCGCCCCCATTGGAACCCTGATTCGCGATGACCACAACCGCCGCAGTAGGTGACTATTCAAATCATGCAAAAGACTTGATTCTTTGTCTTGGGTAGACTCAATGCATTGGTTGGAGAGGCAACATAACAGCCTGAAAATCTGTTAAACCGAGTTCTGCTGGAAAATGTCAACGAAATTACTCTCATCTTTGGAAGTTGGGCGAACCGAGTATTATTCACCGTACTAAATCCAAATCGGTGTATCTAAATCAGAGTAATGACAGTGAAAAAAGCAGAGTCAATTGCCTTGATCAGGGTGGGAACTACTGGCTTGTGAACTGCCCTGCTCTTCATCTCGCAGGGAGAACCTGATTGTGAATGTCTTCGACACCAGACCAGACCATTATCTAAGAGCGAGGCCTTGAGAATCTTGCATCATTCACTTTCTATGTTGAGTTGCAAGCATCCAACCGGACCTGCTCCAGCGCCGCAGATCTCTCCTCACATTCTCCATCTCAGATAACTGTCAAAAGGTTATAACACCGTAACTGTGATATGTAATCCCTAGACAGGAGTACATCGTCTGGACAGTCTAGCGGTATTGGATCCTGATAGAAGATGGCTGATGAAAGAGTCTTGCCGTCCAGTCCGGACCTAAGCGAGTTGATTGACCGCGACGAGATCATAAGTACCTAGAAACTGTCATTTTTACAGAGAGGTCAGCCGGTGTTCAGAACACCCTGAAGGGCTACTGTTCCATGGGTGAATGATGACACACACAGGCTCAAAGGAGCCAAGAAGGTCATCAAGGTAAGTCATGCAAATGTTTCCCTTCCGATATCATAATGGTTTATTGACGGTTCGGAACGAGGAAATGAATACCTGCAGGAAATTCTGCGCCGCTCGTCACTCTGAGCTTGGCTACCCTCAGCCTCCTGGGGTCGGGTTCACCGAAGATGAATGGCATCATTACCGCGGGCAGCGCCTGCTCAGTCTCCTTCCAGGAGACGATGGCTATGTGGCATGGATTGCTGCACAGAATGCATTCGTCGAGGGAACCCGTACTGCATTTACCCCCTGTTACGGAGGCGGAATCGACTGTGGAAGGCGCAGCTCGCTTGCGCGAGCTCAAGTACACCTTTCCCCTGGTTATGGAAGAAGTATAGGCGGTGGCCGTGTACAGTAACGGTGTTCTCTCAGTCAGGTCACGCTCAAGCTTCTTCATCGGGTGTTCAAGCATCATTGCAGGCCTTCTAAAACCCATGAAGGTGGCCGGGAATAAGACGGTCGAGGCCACTCCTTCGCCACGGATAGGGACCGAAGACTCCCTAGAGTGTCTTCCTAGTATCATGGATGCGTCAATGACACGTGAGGAGCTGACTCAAAAGCTATGCCCTAATCTCTCCCTCACATACTCCATCGGCGGTCGCATTTTATTCTGTTTGACGCTCACTTCGGTAGCCACCATTCCCCGACATTGCCCCCTTCTTTGGTGGGCAACGACTCAGACCTTTTGTCAGGGGCCGGCAGCGCCCTGTGCTCAAGTGGGAGCCTCCCAAGGGCCTTGAATGGTAAACGATCAATCTTGAAGGCCTCGCGGCTAATGACAATCAGGCTGGAGTCCACAAGTGGCACTGGACGGGGCGCTGGCAATCCTCAAATGGCCGGGATGCACCTGCAGTAGGCCGAAGCCCCGAAGCCCAACGCGGAAGATGTAGAAAATCAAGCCGGACCTGGCGGTAACGGGGGTCATGGTGAGCCTGCAGCTCCCGGTCAGACAAATTCGACCCCAGGGGCCCTGCAGACGAGCCAGCGTGACACTGAAGGGAGAGCTGGCGAGATGATGACAACAACCAACGGTTTACCATCGATATCGACCATTCGATAACCTTCATGCACTTCATCTACTATGACATTGACTGCACCTCACTCTACACCACGCAGACATGGCAAACAGAGCTCCTCGACCACACACGGGCAGAGCCCGGCTTGATTATGGCACCGCACATATCATTGCCTAACGGCCGCGAGAGGCTGCACTTGAGAGAGGCAGGGAGAAATGTGCCATATCCCGCGAATACGATGTTAACAAAGAGGATGAGTATCTTGATGAAGTGACTGCCGATTTGGAAGGGCATATATTCTGCCTTTGTAGCTAAATTCAAAAACGTCGAGCATCGGGACTCTAACGAGATGGATCCATTCTTTGTGAACTGCGTGATCGAACAAAAATGAATATGAGAAACAGCAGAAAATCGCTGTCTGGGAAAATATTCCTCGCTATTTGCCCGGCGTTCGTTCGAGGCTTGACTTCTATTACGAGTATTAACCGGGGGCAACTGACTTGCATTTGACACCGGCGACTGAGCAGGAGGGCCAGGCATTCAAACAAACCAGCGACGAGGGATATGTCAATCAGGCGCTGAGGCTTTCCTCAACGCGCTAGCTGTGAATATCCCTGACTCAGACTGTAATTGGCGTAGACGACGTCTTGCCTTCAAGGTTAACTTCAGTCAAGCCAGCATGGGAACCCATGCAGTAGCTATATGTATGGACTCAATCGGGTTGAAGAAGCATTCTTAATCGTGGAAATCAAGGCTCATATTCGGAAAAGAGACCTTACATGCAAGAAAATGCTGAGACGGTCACTTGGATACTCAAGGATAAGCGCAAGGGACACACAATGCCCATTAACAACTAGTAAGTTTATCATTCGTTTAGCATTGTCGGCTGGGTACTAATACTCTATGTTATTAAGACACCTTCTAGTCTCCCAAGATCGACATGAAATCTACCTTACCTAGGCATCATATGATGCATCCTATACCAAGTACCTTCAAGGAAGCACCTTTGGCAATGGTTTTTTAAAGAGGAAATCGGCCGTTTCAACACTCTAGATTATGACTACATGAGTCTACTTGCTTGATATATCGGACGTTCCTGTCTTCAGATCACCGAGCATATGTCATGATGCTACCACAATCTCTACACACACAAGTTGGACGAACCGACACTCCGCAATCTATACCTGAGTTGCGGAAGCCGCTGTCTCTGTTCTTGGACCATAATCATGCTCTCCAGTGGCAACATGCGAGCTTCCTCAATCCCGACAAACCCACAGATAGTGTACCGGAGAATCTCATTTGCCTCTCGTCAAAGCTCAATGGGTCGCTACCTGCATCATAGATGAAGAAGGGGATAGATAAGATTATCGTATCAGGGCCTCAAAGAGCTAATCAATACCATGCAGGGGCAACCTATCGATGCCTTCTTCTACAGGTCCCGAGTCTGTCAGTCAACATATGGCCAAGACTGAGGCAGGGTATTTGAAGAAAAAACGAATAGCGCAGAAGGGACTCAGAAAGAACTGTTTGTGGAAACTGTTGTCTCTGTTCTTCAGCAACAACGGTGTTCTTTGGTAGAAACCTGCGAGGGTTTCTAATGTCGACAAACCTTCAGGTTCACTGTGCGTTTGCTCACATAGTCCATGCTACCGGTGAGGGCGAGGAGATCGAACAAGTACTACACGACTATGACGCTACGGCCGGCCTTGAAGGCAACAGTAGCGGCGATCCATCCAGGAGAAGTTCTGGCGGCAGGATGACATTGAAAGCTTTGGGGCTAATGCAATCCCAAATGTTCCGGAACAGGAGCTAGAGGCACGCTACAATGTTGCTAGGACATCTGGAGCTGAGTAAATGCAGAATCACAGATGGCGATGGCGGGACGCATAGCGTAGGTATAGCATTTGGTGACCAGTGCCAGGCCGGATCTTCATCCACGCGGCTTCGTGTCCGAGAGAGTGTGGCTGCAGATCCCGGGGTAGCATCCACTGGGGCAGATCTGCGTCAGAGCCAGCTGTGTCCATCAACTTCAACAAATAATTGTGATGAAGCTTGCATTGTTGCCAGCGATCAAAGAGCACAGGATGAACTTGAAGCCCGCAAGGCCTGAGTCCAGTGATATCAAAAGAGGACCGCTTGTAACACACAGACAAGCTACCTGCCCGGTGAGTTGAAGGGAAACGGAACTGATGCTAAATGTCCTTCTTTCCCCTGCTTATCTTGTCTTCAATGTGCTTGGTCTGTTGGCGATAATTAAGTGGTACATGGGCTTTTTTGATGCCAACCTTGACTGGTCGACTGCCATGTATGGAGATGTGACCGAGGCAATGTCGAATCTAATAAATACATTTAATGAACATTAGGCAAGAGCATCATTCTCATCATAGAATTGCCGGGAATCAGAAGACGCAGAGACTATGATAGTGTGTCGTGCTGAATTTGAGGCTTCTTCATCAAATGTTTAGTAGACCGCTCAGTATGACCAATTCTTGGTCAAATGCTGATCAGGATTCAGGGCTTGGTCACGTCGGCTATCCTCATGCTATTCAGCCACTATTGAATAGCTGCGTTACCATACCAGCTCTGTGATATAGTAGCATTGAAATCGTACTAGAAGGTCCTGAGACTCAAAAACGAAGCCTTGGATCCTTAGGATTCGACGTCAGCACGTGCAAAGCTAGATGTCGATCCGCAATTATTACTGAGAAGAATTGAGGAACAAAGAACCAGCTGGTTGGCGAACTTAGATTCATGCCTTTCATCAAGAATTGACAGAAGCGGCATGTACCTGCTCGCCTATTATTTAGTCCCAAATTTGAAAAATCACTGCTATTGCTCGACTATCTACTCCGTGCGGAGTTTTAAGTCTCCTTGTTCCTGAAACATTTCCCTCTTCTGCTTTGTGGGTCTCTGGGACTGTTCCCTTTGCGGCGGATCACAATCTGCTTGGCCACGCCACGTTTAGTCGTCCGTCTGCGGTCTCTCCTTCATAATCCCAAACGGAGTAATTTCAGTATAGACTATCTACTCCTCAATCGGACTCGTTTATATTCTCATTCGAACACTTCTGTCAAGGCTCAGTCATAGCCTCAGTGCCTACTGACACCCAACCAGCGCAAGCTATTCGACCAATCGCGCAACTGACATCATGTTTGAGGTCCTATAAGGCGGAGACAGAAGCTCTTGGGACGAAAGGTTGACAATGGAGGGACTCTTCACTTTGCTCGCTTTGAGCATTGTGATGGCAATTACGTGAGCATTGAGATCATATTCGTCTTCTGGGAAAAATAGAAAACTAATGGATGTCTCGTCTTGATGTAGATCCTTCGTTGTTGGCTCATTACCGCTCGCCTTTACACTTTCCCCCTCGCAGTTGCGATTGATCTCTTCCCTTGGAATGGGAGTTTTGGTTGGGACATCTTTAATTGTTATCATTCCTGAGGGCGTGGAGACTCTTTACAGTGCGAACTCGCATAATGATCGAAAAGGTCTCAGCACTCGTTCAATGCCGGCCGTGGAATGGCAACACCGATCATTCCCGGATGTCGCTGCGGTCGATTTCTCCAACTCGAACAAGGAAGCAGATTCTACACTTCCACTCATACAGACAGTGGGCATTACGCGCGACGACCAGTCTAAATTGCTGCAGCGAGAGGACGAGGGTGATTCGAATAAGGATGAACACAATGGACATAAAGAAGAGAACTCTTCACATGCTTGGATTGGAGTTGCCCTGATCAGCGGTTTTATCCTGATGTACCTTATCGATAAACTACCCGATTTCGCAACGCCTTCAAAGCAACAAAGACCGCCCTACCACATTTCTCTGGACAATCTGGGGTCCGGATTGCGACGCAACCCCTCCCCCTCCAGAGAAGGAGGGTTGTTGGACGCCGGCAGTACCTCTAGTCGAAGCCATAGCTTTGCGACAACCACCGGTCTCGTCATCCATGCGGCAGCTGACGGCATTGCTCTGGGTGCATCTACCTCCGATACCGGTTTGAGTTTTATCATCTTCCTGGCTATTATGGTGCACAAAGCTCCTGCGTCCTTTGGTCTTACATCGGTGTTGCTCAAGCAGGGCGTGTCTAGTCGGACCGCGAGAGCGCATCTGGTGGTCTTCAGCCTGGCGGCTCCCTTTGGCGCATTGGCAACATTTCTCTTCGTGCGGATCGTGGGCTCGGGCTCTAGCAGTGACGAGGCAGCCACTTTGTGGAGGACTGGGATGCTGTTGCTATTCTCTGCTGGAACGTTTCTGTAGGTTTTCTTCTGGTCTCGCTGACTGCAAGAGACAATGGTGACTAACCGTCTTTAGTTACGTTGCCATGCATACAATGCAGGAGAACAGCCCGAACTCGGAGTTGCGCGAACTACCAATGAATGGATATGGCGAGTCCAGAGACATCCCTACTAAAGCCGACAAGTCCATGCGGGATCTGGTCGCTTCTGTCATCGGCATGATACTGCCGATGTTCTTGCAACTCGGTCATGCTCACTAACGTGGTTCTGCTTTGAACCCTCTTGCCTACTAATCCCTATGTCTGTGATCTAATTTGACTAGAAATCTGGCTCCGGTCTGGTTTCAGACTTGGGACTCCTCCGCGAGCCTAGAAGAATGAACTCATGGCGATCTTGAATATTATAGACTTTGCGCGTTCAAAGGAAGGATCCAAATGCTTCTCAAGAGCTATAGCGTCTTTTTAACCGTTACCCTGTCTTGTGCTATACCGG